TGTATATGCATAACAAATGCAATAAATATGTGCAATATGATGCATGATTTGTAATGCACATGATTTAATTTTATTTAATATTTCAAGGGATTTAAAATTTATGGACATATTGCAAATATCAAAGTAATAACGCATTTGAAATACTGAAAAATTTTATTATAACAACTCCAAAATGGATTACAAGTTTAAATGATCCAAAGAAAAAGATGAAAATAAAATCTAAAACCCTGAAAAGTAAGACTGATGGAGATCACTCTATACACTGACGCTTCCCCGTGATCCTGGTAATCTGAGCCTTCGATCTTTAGTTTTCTTCCGCATGTCTGATGGCAACCTCCTTCCAATCACCTAAATCAGGAAGTGTGTAATCAGCATCTGATTGAGTCTTAGGAAAAAATAAACCCCCTTGCCTCTCCATAGACTCTACCGCTCGACTCTCAAGGATCTCAATCAAGTCGTCTTTCTCCTTCAGGTCTGCTCTATAGGAAATCTCTAAATTTGGAACTTGTTCTTTCAAGCGTCCTTTTCTTGTTGCATCTTAACAAAAGAAAGTTGCAGCTTTTCTAGATCATCTAATAAGAGAGGAGTGGTCTTCACAAATAGATCATGCATACGTGTTTCCCGGGAATACGGAATCTTCGACTGAATAACTCTCGTTTGGACCCACTAAAGATATGGCTGTAAAGAAACAGCACCCCTAGGTCCAAAGTCCTTCCTACTCTTCTTATGAATGTGACGCCAGGCCTTCGCAATCTGCTCCCTAGATTCCCTATGATCTTCTCCCTCCTTCAGAAAGAAACTACTCAAATGAATACTATTTGGTTTATCCCTCATCGGATAACCAATCTGTCTTCGCGCAAGAACAAGGTTATAGTTAATTCCTCCCTTTGTACCAACAAGAGGTACATTGGGGAAACTACCACAACTGTCAATAATATATATATCCTGGTAAGCTCGATGATACCAATCAATATCCGAGTGAGTGAGTGCCATGATCTTAGGAGCCCAACGGGGTTCCTTCTTGACATCCCAAAAAGCATCATACTGAGGCATATGAGAGGTAAACCACCGGTACAATAGAGGCGTGTAACAGATAATCATCCCCCAATAATAAGAATTCTGAAGATGAATAGAGTAATAAGCATCACCCAACAGGGTAGGAATTGGGTTTCCAATCATGAAGATCCTGATAGAATTAATGTCAACAAACTTGTCCACATTAGGAAATAAGAATAACCTGTAAGCAAGTAGAGCAAAGATGGCCTCAAAAGCGACTGTACTCTTCATCCTGGAAAAGTAACGAGCTTTCTCCAATATGAACTGAGCTGTTAATCCTCTAATCCCTCCTTTAGTAGTCATATGGGCTTCCACCTTAGACTTCCCCAGATTAATCAAAGCAGCAATCTCATATGGTTTTGGATCACCCTCCAAACCAGTAAAAGGAACACGATCGGTAACAGGTAAGTCCAATAGATAAGACTACTCCTACAGTGTGGGCATCAACTGATAGTTAGGAAAATTAAAGCAATGATGCATCAAATCATAGAACTATACCATGGTCGAGAGAATACCCTCCTTCATCTTCAGCTTCAGAGGAGGAATAATGGATCCACACTTCTTCCAAAAGTCTGCAGAACACTCGATCTCGGGAATTACACTGATCAAGTCATCTATCTTGGGATCCTTGAAACTGTACTCCCTGGTCTTTCTCTTTCCATAATCCATGGTTAAAAAGTACCCGAGATATTCACAAATGGTCAACCTTTAAATCCCTTGAAATATGATTTCTCCAAAAGATGCTTATGAGTGCATGGATGCATGATGCAACAATCACATACAAGATCACACATATAAGGTTCATAGGTTCAATGTCACGAGCAAGAGGTCGAAGGTACTACCCATAAGGTGTTGGTCAAAGAGTTATCACCTGCCGAACAAGGTTCTAGAGGTTCCCAGAGTCTACATCCTTCCTTTGGATATTACCAACTTCCCAATTAACTCGGTAATTAGTAATATTATCGAGAAAGACTCGTTCGACCATAGTATTTCCTGACAACTATTTCCGGATTACTCCTTCATAGCTTCCGCACTACACCTAAAAGGCCAAGATGGGTTTGGTATTCTACGGTCCTCAGCTTCAGCAGGCTCCCAGGTCGAAAGCAGTACGTCTTCCCGATTACTTGGTAAACGAAACTACAGTCAAAGGGGCCTCCACTGAGTGGGGGATCTCATGCCTCCTTTTTTGGGATTACTCCCTCAAAGTTAACATGACTATACCGCCCTTCCTATCTTAAAGTTTGCCCAAGTCCGGGTATAGGACTTATGAGTAATCACCAAGCACCCTGAAAACCAGGAAAATCTAGACAAACATATATACAACATATAACACAAAAAAAAACAATAATAACACATATACAAATATAAACAAAGATAGGCTCAACCCACTTAGGGATGGACCAGCAAAAGTTCAATCTTTCCCCAGTGAAGTCACCATTTTTCTGTAGCTGTTTAAGACTAAGCTATTGGATTGACTAGACTTATATAGATCAAAATAAAAATCGCCACCGTGCTTTATTGTTTTCAAAGTAATGGGAAAAGAGAGAATAACCCAAAAAGAAGGGGAAATATTCTAGGTAAGGGGGTTGGTTATGCAAAGGGAAGGTATTAGCACCCTAAACATCTACGATACTCTGTAGGATTCTCTTTGTAAAATCTGTATATTTTGGCTATAAAATGTTGTATAAAAAAATGATGGTGGAGGTGAGAAAAGAAATATATTTTTTTATGATTTTTGCACCTTCCGCGGTTGCGAACCTTTAGTGCCTATGTAACACCTTTTCGTGCAATAAGGGATCAGGGTACACGTAGTTCTTCTTTTAAAAACATCATCGTCATTGTCCGTGTGGAAAACATACCTACTACCCACAATCATGAGAAAGTAGAATTTGCATCATCTTAAAATGGAGGATATGGAGTGGATTTTAAAATCAACAATGCCTCACTAAACACCCAAGTGGAAACTATATCTCTTCACTACATATTGTAGAAGTATAGTTGTTTGCATCACTACAAGGATTGAGAAGAGTTCAATATTTTGAGAAAAGTTTAAAGATAAAAGCCAAAGTGGAAAAAATGGTTTGAAATGCGATTGATTGACTTTTATTCATCTCACAAAAAGGATGTCAAATTATTATTAAGTTTATTGGAGTTTATTTATGAAAACGTTTGAAAATTCATGGACCTAAGTCCAAGTTTATTATTAAAGTGGTTCAAGTTTAAAACAAGAAAAGTTTTCAAAAGGAGGAAGAAGATTTTTGATATTAAAGAAGATCGGAGGAGAAGAAGAGGCTATCGTAAAGCATAAGGTAAAAGCTAAGGGTAAGAACAATCTAACCAACAAGAAGCCAATACTTGACACTATGCCAAGAAAGAATTCTCATTCTATGGATTGAAACTAAACAAGCAAAAATACTAGACCTCCTGAGAGAACCAAACTTCAAGTGTATTAATTCTTCAAAAAAAATTGGGCAGAGTAACGGCTGTATACGGGTGAATTCCATATTACAAACAAAGAGTGTAATCACAATAACCTGCACAAAAAACAAACAAACAACCCAATTACTTGAGGTAAACCTCAAGAGCTCACTAGTGCAATAATGACTTTTTACATCGGGTGAAACTGACTTTTTACATCGGTTCTGGGTCCGATGAAAAGTCAGGCGATATAGTAAATCAGGTACTTTTTACATCGGTTCTGGGACCGATGTAAAAAGTCCCTTTTTTATATTGGTTATAATATAATAATCGATGTAAGAAACAGTTATTATGCACATTTTTTAAAAAATTGATCCAGTTTTTTACATCGGTTGGATGTAATACCCGATGTAAAAAGTCCCTTTTTTACATCGGTTATAATATAAGAACCAATGTAAGAAACAATTATTATGCACATTTTTAAAAAAATAGATCTAGTTTTTTACATCGGTTGGAAGTAATACCCGATGTAAAAAGTCCCCAGTGACGCAACTTTTTACATCGGTTATTACTCCCAACCGATGTAAAAAGTCCCTTTTTGAAAGTTTATACATCAGTTTTGAGTAATAACCGATGTAAAATGTATGAAATTTTTTTGGAATAGATTATTTATTTTCTGGATGTTTCCCTGTACAAATATAATTTGTACCCATTTTTTCATATTTTTCCAATATCACACAGACTATATTTATGTCGCTATATAGATTTCATAGCTTTCCAACATCACATATATCACATCTAGGTCGATGTTTTCATATTTTTCACAACAAACTTACAAATTGAACAATTGTATTGCAAACTTGTATTGTATTACAACAAACAAACTTACAATTACAAATTCTTCACAAAATATACAACAATATTCAACTATTTATAAGTCTTTTTCAAAACTTACAATTACATATTATTCACAAAATATACAAAAATATTCAACTATTTCTAAGTTTCCAAACTTAAATTACCAATATAAAATCTTCGGTAGACAACACCAAAATCACATTTCCTGGCAATAAATAATAACAATTAACATCAGCAAAAAAAATCTAGAAACTCAATAAATGTGCAAAATATGAAAAACCCATAGACTTAAGTGTCTCCATTAATGATTGTGATAAACCCATAGACTTAAGTGTCTCCATTAATGATTGTGATAAACCCATAGACTTAAGTGTCTCCATTAATGATTGTTGAAACATCTTACGCTCTTCAACCAACTTTTCTTCATGTTCAGCTCTAAGTTTTGTTTCCAATATTACAATTTGTTCATTTACGTCGATATGTTGACGTGATCTTCCAAAGTAAGTGCTTTGTTTATGGTGTTTTCCAACACCATGAACACGACCTTCATGCTCAGATGTTCCAATGGCTAATGATAAGATATGGTTACGTCCATCCTGAACAATTGCACCTTTTTCAGCTTCTTGAACTAGAGAATCCTACAAAATGCAAAAACATCAATTAATCAATCACAAATATAATGATACTTGAATAATTTTTACATCCTTAGGCACCATCTCCGCCACCATAAAATTCACAGTCCCATCTTTAGGCACCAAATAACCATTCAAAACCACATCCTCTTTCACCGCGTGGGGCAACACAAGATGCGCTGGTGGATGACGCCTCAACCTCTCCAAAACCACACATTTCAGATAAGGAAGTTTCTGCAAATCTTCTTCTTTCACTTCCTTGTTCAATCCACTATCATCACCACCAATTACCTCCTTAATCTCCTCTACAAGCTTTCTCTGCACATCCGGATACTTGACCAAATTCTCCATAATCCACTGCAAAGCCGTGGAAGTCGTGTCCATGCCACCATTCAAAAACTCAGAACAAAGACTAACCATTTCATCTTCATTCAACTTGCGATTCTCCTCCTTTAACTCCAACTCCAAGAGAGTATCTGCATAAGAAAAAACACTCTTACTTCCCTTATTTTGCTTCCTGGCTCTTATCAGCGGAAGTAAAACATCTTCCTGATCCTTACACAACTTCAACAACCCTCCCATCTTTTCCTGAGAAAAATCTTAGAAACTTGAGGCCAGAAATTCAATATATTGAATCTGCTCATACTCAACAGAAGCGTCCTTTGTACGCGTTCAATTTCATTAACTTTCTCATCGTGAACTCTTTCACCAAAACACATAAAAACAAGTAAACAGAACATTGCATAATGAAACTGGGGAACATCCATAAAGGATCCAGACTCCGAATCCGTTTTGAGACGGTTGATGAGAGTGTCAAGGACCCAGTTCCGGATTTCTGAGAAAGATTTGACTTTCGCCGGATGGAGCATCTCGGAGGCCAGGTTACGGCGGAGGGTTCTCCACGTGGCACCATAAGAAGCGGAACTGATATTGTGCTGGTTGTTGGACATGAGCTTTCCGGTGGGAAGTGCTTTAGGGCGGTCGGAGAAGATTGACGAGTTATGAACGAGAGCATGGTGAGCGAGAGAACGGTCGGCGATGAAAATGGAATGTCGAGAATCGATTCTGAGAGCGATGATGGGACCGTGTTTGGCGTGAAGGGTTTTGAGAAAATGTTCGAGTTGGGAGAAGGATTTTCGGAGCCATAAGAGGCTTGTGAGGATGGGGATGTGGAGTGGGCCGGAGGGAGAGTTGCGGTTTTGGTGGTGGTCGTAAGGGTACTGAACGGAAATGGCGTATGCGGACAGTGGAAATAGTGAAATGGCGGCAAGGAGAGTTTGTACAGTGGAAATATTGAAATATTGTAAATTTGGGAAATAAGGGCTTGGGACATTTTACATCTGTGGAAATGAAAACCCGATGTAAGGGTTTGCATAGTGGAGAAGCTATTACATCGGTGGATCCTAATAACCGATGTAAGGGTTTTGAACCTATTACATCGGTGGATACTAATACCCGATGCAAGCTTCTTTTTCTGACTTTTTTACATCGGTTTAAACTTCCCCCGATGTAATTGTTTTAATTTATTCTTTAATTTATTTTTTATATTAATATCTACTGTGAAGATATTACATCGGTTTTTAGTTAACCGATGTAATATGTTGCTTGTTTTTTATTAATATTTCTACTACCTTGTTTCTTATTTACAAAAATGCCACCGTATTTTTTTCTAAAAACTTTTTACATCGGTGGATGCGTTTGCCCGATGTAATAGGTAGCGGAATATATTTTTTTTCTTATTTTTTATATCATTGCAAATAAATACCTGATGTAAAAAGTTTGTTAATTGTATTTTTTACATCATATATTTTGATACCCGATGTAAAAACCTTTTCTCAAATGTCCTTTTTTTAGTAGTGGCTCCAGAAAAAATAATCAGATAAGGTCATAAGGTCTCCAATCATAGGCCAAGGTTTCTAATCCTAACTCCAAAAAGTCCAATGGTCCATAATGCCAAGGATAGTAACCAAATAGTCCAAGTATCACTAAGAATTTTATGGTTCATATTGATTATTATTTATCTTAAGAAAAAGAAAAGAAAAGCTTAAGTGAACAAAATAAAAATGACAAGAAAGTAAATGCTCAAATGAGCAAAGATGAAAATGGCATGAAATTTAAATGCTAAAATTAAATAGTGCATAAAAATAAAGGGGGCACATAATAAAAGAATAAAGGATAAAGTCAATTATTAGTGATTAGTAGTTAGTTGGATGATCATATTGAAACTTGCATTTGGAACTCATTAGAGGATTGGTAGAACCAAAGCCTCCACACAACAAGTTGCATTTGCTTTTTGTCAAGTATATCATCCATTTTGAATCCTTATGAGTATCATTTAATGATCAATAATATTTAAGTGATCCGCGTTGATCAAAGGTATTGCAGATCCATTAGAGGATTTGTAGAACCAAAGCCTCCACACAATGAATCTCAAGGTTATTGAATCAAAGAGATCAAGTTAACATACTTGGGCTTACAAACTTAAGTTTGGGCCACGAATGATCATTTATTGGAATCGGGACAAATTTTAGCACTATGTTAAGCAATCATAAGTGGACTTATATAGAAGTCGCACCTATTTTGAGGCCGGTCAATAGCAATCTATGCACCATTTGTTTTGAGACATGATATCGAGATCATGCTCCAACAAGATTTAGTGCAAAAAGAAGGGGATGAGATGAAGAGGGGTGAGAGAGAATATACAAACCACTTTTGGATTAAATTTAATCAAACTATTATTAAAATCATTCATCCATTTTTATGGAGTTAGACTTAACACCATGGATCCAATGATGTTAATAAAGTTCATGATCAATAATTTAACCCAAGATCAGCCAGAAAATAGTCACAAAATAATATTACATTTTAATATATACAAAAAAGTATCAAAATAATGTTTAAAAATAGAAATAAAAGAGAAAAATATCAACTATGTTCAAATTAATCAATAAATAAAAAGCAAGACCATAGAAAAATCAGAAAAGGGCTCCAGTGATTTTATAAATTTTTTGGTAATTTTTTAAAGTCAGAAACTATTTTAAAAAATTAAAGTAAATGGGTAAAATAAACCATAAATGATACAAAAAAATAGCAAAGTCAAAAGCAAAAATAAAATAAGATCACCAATATTTGTCACAATATCATTGGATCATTCCATAATTTTTTCAGGATTTAAAAATGCATACAAGTATTTTTAAATATTTAAAACAATTCCAATAAAGTGTAAATTTATAAAAAATACCAAAACACAAAATTAAATTGTGAAAAAATAAAAATCAGAAAGAGAATAATCAAAATTATTTTTCATAAATTTTTTCAGATTTTTTGGACTAAAAATGAATTTTTATGATTTTTTAAAGTTTAAAACAATTAAATATAAAAATCAGAAAAGAAAATAAAAGTCAAAAATATGTGGACCATTGGATGACAGTCAAAACGCATTAGTAATCAAATCCAAGGGGTCTGGCGCGTTGTGCATATCATGGTCATTATTGAGTAAAGTAGTGAATCAATTATTAAATAAGAATTCAAAAATAACAAGTGGCGTACCATCATTGGTTGGAGGATGACACGTTGGTCATCTTCAACCTCCAGCCATCGTGAATTACAGGTCTCTCAAACTGTAAAATCAGAAGCTCGGATCTATGCCATTCGCTTTGTCTCTTCAAGACGAAGACAACCACACCCTCGCGCCAAATTTATATAAAATGTAGCTTAAGCAATTTGTAAAGAAAGTTTTGAAAAGGGATTTGAAATTTCATGGTCAAAACGTGTTTCCAGTAAAAGGTATGTGTTGCGATTAGAACCAGGGAAATGAGAGCATCACAATGATATCAAATTTTGAAGAATTGATGAAGGAATCTAGCTATTGAAGTTGAGTTGGAGAGCTCTGAAGCTGGACTTCTATGGAGCAGTATAGGGAACGATTATCGAATGTAATTATATGCTTAGCTTCAGGGAAGATCAAGGAAGGTGAATTGATGAAAAAATCGGATTGAAAAAGGCTTGTGTATGGATTTCGAAGTTACTGAATTATGAGTTATGAAACAAGTTTGCCAGGGTGATTCTGGCTATCCAAGCTTGAGAAATTGAATTGGATAGTTCATGTATTTATAGGAGAAGCAAATGGGATCAAAAGGAAGAGTGAATGATGCATTTTGGAGGGAATTCGTGCAAACATCATGCACGAGTGAAGTGTGATCTAATTTTCACCAAAACTCATCCAATCCTTGCGTTTTGAGGTGCTAAACAATTCTGGAACTTCACTAAACATGTTTAGAGGCAAAAACGCATGGAAAACTTGTGATTAGAGGCCAAAACAAAGACTTCAAATTCTGACTTATGGAGAAACTTCAGTTCCAAGTTACCAAGTTCAATCCAATGGCATTCTCAGCTCAAGGGGTCTTAAGGCATTATTCTTGATGCTTTAGAAAGATGAGGTTACAAGCTTTGCAATGGGAAAAGAATGGAATCAAATGGATGTTTGAGCTGAAAGTTACAATGAGTCAAAGTTGGGAAACAGAAGTTTACTTTCCATACTTAGAAATCTTTCATATTTTTCTTCAAAAGTGACCTATAATGTTTTGTAACCAAACATGGCCTTCCACTTGGAATTTGCTCTTGACCAAAAAAGATGGCATGAAGTAGATCTCTTAAATGACATTTTGAAACTTGAACCATTAAAAACCTCCAAAAATTGAGAAAGTTATGACTTGTTGAAGTTTGAAAATTTTCATAAAATGACCTATAATCTTTTGTATCATTAAGGCAACATCCATCCATTTTCTCACTTTGCACATGAAAGAAAGAAAAGAGTTCACATCTTCAAGATAATTATGGAAAAAGAATGGGCTCGAGGTGATATAAATTGACCAAGTTATCCTCATTTGAAGTCACACATAAAAAATTGGGGATTCATCTATAGGACTTGTAATCTTTCTTCCTCGTCAAGTTTCTTCCACATGAAAACTCCTTGGAACTTTTGATGTGATTTGTTAATACCCCTTTGAAGAGAATAATGTCTTTAGAATCAATCAAAGATACCAAAATATGGGCAACATATACTCCTTTGAATTTCAAAACCCTAGCTCCTAGATTAAGAAACATGCCTTGTAAATATAAGTTCTTGTAACAAACTTCTTGAGGAACTTCTTGTAACAAAACAAATTCTTTGTAAATATAAGTTGTTGAGGATGATAATGAGAACTCATAGTAGCCACAACCACTTCCATATCATGAGAATTAAGAGAAATATGCATTTGTGACCAATGGGAACAAAGCCTTGTCCAAGCATAACAACTTCTCTAATCAATCCCTTGTGCTTTTCAACCAAATTTGATAACTTTGAAATATGGTGAACAAAATAACCTTGCCATGCCATATCTTCTGAAACAAATCCAATGGTGAGGTTTGAACTTCTCAAGATTTATTGACTAGGGCATGGAAATAAACTCATGAACCCATGGAGCAATTTGATGAATCTTATTTCCTTTACCTGCATGAGTAACAAGCCGGACAAACCAACATTGCATTTCATTAATTAAAAGAAGAAATCAAGACAAAAATATTCATGATCACAAAAG